ACTCCTGCATTTAGTTCCACTAAATCGGAGAACCACTCCCGATTAGGGGACATATGATAGGTGCAACCCAAATCTAATATCCACTCATCGAAATGGAATGTTGTTGAAGAAGCAACCAATGATATGTCAGAGTCATGTGCATCATGCTCTGCAACACATGCATCTGGAGCAGCTTTTCCTTTCTTCTTCAACTTCGGACAATCTTTCTTCCAATGGCATTTCTCATGACAAAAGGCACATTCATCTTTTCCCAGTCTGGACTTTGACTTTGATCTCTCTCTCCACTTTGGCTTTTAACTTTTCGAGCGACCTCTTGCCACCATGGCCTCTGCTGCTTCGTACTTGCTCTCCTTCTTGGTTTTCTTCCTGAGTTCATAACTATACAAAGAAGCAGTTACATCTTTAAGGGTAACATTATCCTTACCATGAAGTAACGTTGTCTCAAGGTGCTTAAATTCATCTGGAAGAGATGACAACAACATCAAAGCCAAATCTTCATCTTTGAAGGTTTCATCCATACCCAATAAGTCTTCCACTAGCTTATTGAACGCAGTGATGTGTTCATTCATACTGGTGCCTGGTTGATAATCAAATCTGAACAATCTTTTCTTCATGTGGAGACGATTCTGAGAGCTTTTCTTCAGGAATTTTTCCTCCAAAGCTTTCCACATCTTACTTGCAGACGTCTCGTTCTTGTAGCCATACTTCTGCTCCCTGGAAAGACAAGATCGAATCGTGCTGCACGCCAAACGATTGATTATTCCCCATTCTTTCTCCTCCATATATTCGGGCTTTTCTTCCTCAATGGCGATGTCTAGACCTTGTTGGAATAAAGCGTCTAACACCTCGCCTTGCCACATGCCAAAATGATCGGATCCATCGAACAACTCACCGAGAAATTTGCATTTGACATCACCCTCCTCACCGATCCAGATGAAGAGCTTGATGTCTCAACTGATCCGTATTTTGGCATTTTAATTCTAACGAACAATATTCAATATCACGAACTGTATCTTTTCAGCAACGGACCCACCAGGATAACCTCAACCGAAGCTCTGATGCCAATTGTTGGGGAAAACGGGTTATTTCCCACACGAACGTAGTTTTAAAATTGACCTAAAATGTCAAGATTAAAACCACCAAAGGTTGCACAACGGATAAACCTGTTAAACTATTGAATATTGAAACACAATGGAAAAGAACCGAACAAAAAACAATAAAGGAGAGAACACACCAAATTTACGAGGTTCGACAAGAATATCGTCTACTCCTCGGGCACCACACCGGATGATAACTTCACTATATCGCCAATATTACAACAAATGGAATTCTTTAGAATTCCCAAAGTGGGAGAATGAAGAATACAAGAGGAAGAGAGAACTTGTTTTTGGGATTATTTCTAATGGAAATACTTAGGCCTATTTATAGTTGAGTTTCAAGAACAATATGTTCAAAGTTTGACCACATACCAAAGAATTTTCCAATGTGTACAAGTTAGCCACCAAATATTAAATTCACATATTCAAAGTTTGGCCACCAACCAAGATGAAATTTCCAATAAGTTGGCCACCAACCAATATGAAATTTCCAACTTGTCAACTTAATTTCTAGACAAATCTAACAATGATGAATGATTTTGTGTTGCTGCGATTGAAGAATCCATGCCAATTTGAATTGCTTATATAACATGCATCAGGTTTTCCCATGATTTTCCAGTTTAATTGTGCGTGATTTCAAGCGCAAACAAGTGTTTTTGTTTCGAACGTAAACCATATATGCATAGCCGATTATTGTTGCAGACAACTTCGTCGAAGCTTTTGGTTGCCCTATTAGTAAATCTATTCAACAATAACTGGTAATGTGAAGGCCGGTAGTTATTAACTAAAACAAAGTAAACCTAACACTAATATATACAACTTTTTTTTTTATAATTTTTAATAACAATAACACATTACTATTATATTATTAGATTATTTCGGTAAAATGATAAGAGTCGTCCCATATATTTTCGAGGTCTCGAGTGAAAACTAAAAAATATGCATTTATAAAATGAAAGTATATTTCATTACTTTGAACAATTATTCAATATTACATACATAAATCATAGAAAAATTACTAAATTTTATGAAAAATATATTATTTTTTTATTTTATTAAGAAAACATCTTAAATACAACTAAAAGAGAATAAATATAAAAAAAATTAAATGATGTATGATACATAGCTTGATTTTGAATAATAAATAAATAAAAAGAATATATTATTTTATTGTTAGATAGAGAATAAAGACGACTAAAAATTAAATAATATTTAATAAATTGAAGAGTAAGATCTTAAAAAGAGAAAAATATGATTAAATTTAATTCAAAATTGAATGAATAAATAAGAAAAATGGAAAAAGGGGTAAAAAAACTAAACATTTTATGAACTTATAAAAATTAGGGGCCACAATTATAAATATAAAAAATTGATTAAATTTAATTCAAAATTAGATGAATTAACAAGATAAATGAAAAAAGATGGTCAAAAGCTAAATTTTTTTAAAATTATAAAACAATTGGGTGCCCTGAGCGATTGCTCGTGGTGCTCCCCCTTAGAGCCAACCCTGATAATGATCGATAGTATAGATCCATTAATTAAGATTTGGTATTGCATAGGTTGATTATAAAGATGAACCTCTCAACTCTTAATCTTACTTAAAGATCCAGAATCTCATTAAATGGTGAAGGTTGATTCTTATTGTACTACATAATATATCTCATAAGTTAAAAAATATGCATAATATCAAAAAAATGTCCCTAAAGTTTGATTAAATAATTACATTGACTCATAATTTTTTTAGCATTTTAGCTTCTAAAATTTTATTGTGGGATAAAAATACTTGTCCGTTAATAGAAATCGCTAATCAAATTCGAGCTATGTTTTCTGGTCTTGTGTCATCAATGAGGTCGAATTTTATGGAGGTAATGGCTAATTAGGGATTGTTCTATTTTATAATCAATTAGGGTTTAATAGAATATATTTCAAGTATTGCATGTTGGATTAGTTATAGGAATGGACCGAGGGGGGCGGGTGAGGCACTCGCCCCTTGAAAATTTAAAATCGTTACCTTTTCGTCTTTTTAGAATTTTAGTTCGTCCCTTAAGTTTAAATTCATCTCTCCTAATATAAAATAATGTGTTCATCCATGATTATCTATATGTTCCCTTCAACATATCATACATTCAAAGTTTACATATAGTGTTCTTTAACCCCCAAGAAGGCAAAGTTAAATAATGTTCGTCACCGAGCTTGTTAAAATTGTTGGAGCCAAGAATTATATCATCATCACATCCACATGGGGTGACATACATTTGATCCATACATGCCTTCATCAATGACCAGTCATAGTCAAGGCATTCGGTAAAGTTTAAGATATTTAAGATTTTGGGTAAAGTATATGAGAGGTCGTTGAACTATATTCAAATCATTATTTTAGTCATTGGATTTTCAAAAGTTATAAAATAATCATTAAATTTTATCAAATAGTTACAAAATAATCACTACGACGCTATAATAAGTGTAAAAGTTATATAATTTAATGATCATCTTGAAGCAGTTAGATAAAGTTTATTAACCATTTTGTAACGATTCCATAAAATTTAATGATTGTTTTATAACTTTTGAAAAAGTTTGATAATCAAAACGATCATTTGAACATAATTTAACAACCTATAGTGTACTTCACCCTAATAATTTTTGATAAAATTTTCATATAATTAGGTACTAAACTAGTTTCAAATATTAGGAGGGAACTGACTCGAAAAAAAGATAAATAATTTTAAATTTAAAGAGAACATATACTTAATTTTGCAAAAATAAAGTAGGTCGTTTTTGGTTTTAATACACAAAATTAAGTCTCGTTCCCATAAATTTTAAATTTAAATACTCATTAGGTCCCTCATACGATAAAAGTTAAAAATTTTGATTCTTCTTTATATTAAATCTTAATTCTGTTCTTTGTAAAAACTAAATTTTATATTTTAAAATAATGTACAAAACCACTCCCATATTTAAACCTCTTGTTATTAAATTATTCATTTTTTTATATAGTAGTATATGTTCTAGATATTTTCAACCAATAAACAATAAATGTTCAATCATTTTACTGCAATTAGGAATGGACATGAGATATGAACCTGATGGATTCCGACCCGACCCGACTCGAATGGTGAGATTTTTTAAAAAAATTTGGGTTCTAGTTGGGTTGGACTTTTTTAGAAGTTATGTTTCGGTCGGGTCGGTTTTAGGTTTAGGGTGAAAAAAATACTCGACCTAATCTGACCCAAAAAAAATTGTAATTTTAGTTTGTTTATTTATGGATAATTGCAATAATGTCCTTCTATATATTACCTTCTTTCAATTAAATCCATATTTTTATTTAGTAAAAGTAATATATTTTAATGAATATATTATTTTAAGTCGGGTTCGAATTTTATCTTTAAAAAGTGGGTCGGGTTCGAGTGGAATATATATATTTTTTGGGTTAGGTCAGATGGACCGAAAATCCGACCCGATCCAACCCAACTCATCTCCATCTCTAACTGCAATCATTGGCATTTTAACCCGTAATTTTTGGAAATAACAATGATTTCTTTATAGGCTAAGGTAAGTATCTTCGTGCCAATGATTTTGGTGTTAAAACAAAGAGAAATGCAAAGGACAAAAGTGCTGCAACCACTCGTGATAATATAAGGTATGTAATATTTGAATGCTTTATCTGATTTTTGTTCTAAATGTTACTTTTTCTGATGTTCAAAGCTCTCTACTTTAGGCATATTTTGTGAATCTTCTATGAAAATATAAGAAAAATGATTCACCATTAACCAAACTTTCTCTTTGAAGAACATGTTTTGTTGTCAGCAAACAATAACAATAATTCTTGACCTTTACGGAACAGTGTTTACGGAACAGTGTTTACGGAGGATTGAATTAGCCAGACCTACTAAAAAAAATTGAAAAAGACTGCTCTTTTCTTGGCTTTTACTGCAACAACTTTATGTTTTCTGCAGCCATTTTTAGTGCAGGAAGCTTCTATGAACAGTTCAATGATGTTGTTAAACTGATGAAGTACTCTTCACTACATGGGATTGTAATACCACCCATTGGATGGTTAAATCCAAATTCCTCCTCGGCTCTATTCAAAAGGTCTTGAAACAATGGATGGTTCAAGTAAGATATAGGAATCACAAATCTTTTCCTATTGCCTTCCCCAACATAAACTGCAACATGGCCTTTCGGAACATTCGATGTTACCATCGCGTTCCCGATTCGTCCCAAGAGCGTTCGCTGCAGCTTTTGTTTCGCTTGAGCTAGACCGGTTAGTTGAATACCCATCTTAGAGAAGAAGAAGAAGAAGAAGATCAAAGGTTTGGTTTTTAAGTGATGGGCTGTTTTTTTGGAGAGTGAAAAGACTTGGTTTGAAATTTCCATCTTTACTGGCTAAATATATCTATAGTGAGAGGGGGTGATTGTTTATTGGAGAATGTTTCGGAAAACATATCAGGTGAAGCAATTGGTTATGCTTCACATGGTTCGGCATTGTCTGTTGCTATGCATTGCTGGCCTACGACCTTGAGAAACCAATAAAAAAGGAGACTACAACTTCGGATATATATATACATATGTTTTCCCTGTGTTTTGAATATATTCAAACGCTCTTGTTGATCTTAGTGCATGCTTAATTCTCTGAAGCATTGAACTTAGACTTTTGTTCCACAAGTTGCTTTTCTTGTACCTACTGCCCAACATACTTTTGAGGGTCATTTCTGTGCATTTATACCCCCACCACATGTTTGAAACAATATCTAAAGACTGAAGATACTAATTTTTTACCCATATTATAATAATAATAATTATTATTATTATTATTATCATTATTATTATTATTATTATTATCATTATTATTATTATTATTAAATATATATTAAATACATATATAAATAATATTAAATTACAAAGCCCAATCAACCGGCCCAAAACCCAAACCAAACTGAAACCCAAAACATTTAGGGTTTCAGTTAGGGTTTCCTAACCCTCATCCCATGCTCAGCCGCCTCTAGCCAGCCGCCTCAGACTGACCGTTGGATCTGGTATGATCCAACGGTCCAAGAGCCTCCAGATGGAAACCCTAGGGTATGATACCCTAGGGCCACACGGCCGCCGCTGCTGCTCCAGCCGCCACTGCCACGTCCCAAACGAAGGCTCCAGAAGCTCCAACGCCAGCCGTCCACGCCATGGCTAAGGGGTGAGTCACCACTGGTAGTCCGGTGACTCACCGAAACCCCCTCTTCGGACCGGTCCGAGGATCACACCGGTGGTGGCTATAAAAGCCACCACCCGAACCTGAAAAAAGAGAAAAAAGAAGACAGAAAAAAAGAAGAACAGAGAGACAGAGAACAGATCCTAGGGAGACAAAACCGAAAAAAAAAATACAAAATACTACCAACGATCTCAGTCAACATCTCACAACCAGAACCAGAAAAGAAAGAAAAAGGAAGAAGAGAAACTTACTGAGGAAGCCCCGACCACCGGATCTCACCAAAACCTTCGAACAACCGAAGGTACTTTTGTAGATTTGCTCCGATTAGGAGCCATTTAGAAGAAAAGAACACCGGGACCGTCCTTAGGACGGTCCGATCTATTTAATGGTTGAAAAATAAAATTTTCCGGCCACCAGATACGGTGGCCGGCGGTGACGGTCACGGCGGCAGACGGTTGCCGTCCGGTGACCGGCTTCCCTCCGATGAGGGAAGCTAGAGAGAAGCCAGAGCTCTCTCTCTGCTTGAGAGAGAAAGAAAAATTTGAAATGAAGGCTGGCCCTTCGGGCCAGCCAGTTTTGGACCTTTTATAGTCCTTCCCGAACGACGTCGTTTCGGGAAGGACTATGCGCGTAATTAGATGATAGTTAAACTCCATCCGTAGTCCTCCGAACTTGTAAACTTTACATTTTAGTCACTGAATTAAATTTATAATACTTTTAATTTGATCTCAAAATTTTAATTTTATTTATTTTAGTCCTTTTTATTAAAATAATATATTTAGGATAAATAACAGAATTAATCCCTTAATTTTAATAAATATTATTTTAATCCATAGTTTATATTTTTAATTTATTTTATTATAATATCCAAATTTTAGATAATTTTATTTTAGTCACTAAATAAATAAAATAAATAAATAGCATGTTTAATCCCTAATATTTTGATTAATTATGAATTAGGTTTTTAATTTTATTTTTACTATAATTTAGTCATTTATTTTAAAATATATCGTTCTAGTTGTATTTTTATTGTTTTAATTTTACTTGTTTATTTATTTAAATATTTTTATAGTCATAAATATATATATATAATAAATAAATATTTATTTCAAATAAATTATTTTAATATTTATTTTTCAATATCGAAGAAAAGGACAGTCTTAATACAACTGGATGTCCTATTCTGGTATTTTAAAATTAAATATTATAAAAAAAATTATTATTTAATTTTATGTAAATTAATCAATATCAAAGAAAAGAGCTGTCTTAAGGCACCTAGAAGTTCTTTTCTGATATTTTTAAATAAATAAATATTTTTTTATATAATTTTGAAATAATAGGATTATAAATTAAATATATTTTTAAATTTTTAAATTTTAATAATAGAGACAATTTATAATTAAAAAGTACCAATTTTGGACGTTGTAGGGGTGCTAATCCTTCCCTAAACGTAATCGCCCACGAATCCCTTTTTATTATTAAAAAGAACGAATTTTTGGTTATAAACGCAGATCAGTTCATTTTTTATTAGTGTTTTCTTAAAACTCTTTTAAAAAAAATAACTTTTAGGTATTCGACCTACCTGACCCAAAAGGCCGATGGCGACTCTCAAATTATTTTCAAAACTATTTATTCACATCACTTTTCCCGTCAAGAAAATTTTTCGTGCCCGGACGAAAACCGGTTACGACAGCTTGGCGACTCTGCTGGGGACGGGTCAAACTTTTAAAAATCAATGTCTCTATTAATTAAAAATTAAAAATTCATATATTTAATTTTTAATTTTATCTTTTCAAAATTTTTATATTTACTTATTATTTTCATAATATTTATATGTTTCATTTTATTTTATTTGCAATTATTTTATTTCATTATTTATTTTTCTGTCAGAGATATGAACATTTCTCCTCACACACAACACTTGCATTGCATCACATAAAGCTCTATAATTGAGTTATCCCTTTTAAGTGGGAGTGAAAGCGACGTCTTCGTGAGAATTTATTCTCCGTGTCAGACCTAGCAAGTAACTTTCGGGGTTCATATGCTCTATGTCTTCGTGAGAATTTATTCTCCGTGTCAGGCATAGAGAAATGTATCCCCTCGAATTGAACTCGATCCACTTTAGTCTGTGATGGACTAGGGTTGAGGGTTAGCAACCCAAGGGGGCACTAACAAGGACAATTCGGGTACCTTTATTTTTAGATCTGAAACCCTGCATATAAAAAACCTTAGAAACTCTTCCGATCCGAAGTCATGCCAAAATTTTGTCAGTAGGTGTACACACAGGAGAAATGAATTCTGACTTTCCTGTTAATTTATTTATTTTCTTTATTGATTAAATTACATGTTTATTTAAATTATTTAAATTTAGAAAAAGCATGTTTAAATAAAAATATTTATGTAAATGTTATTATTAAATTCCTTTATTATGTAAACTAATTTATTTTCTTTTTGTGTGTTCTTTATTTTTCTGTTTGCATAGCATCATACAGGATAAAAGACATTGATCCTTGTGTTAATTGTCTCATTGGAAAGCCTTCATCTATGGATAAAAAGTGTTCAAATCAAGTAATTCTAAACTCAGAAGTAAGACAGTGGGCTGAGGACTTACAAAGACAAGAAGGAGACAGTCTGCAGGATGATTATGTATCTGAATTGGCCAGTTATGCTCCAGTTTCGCTAAAAAGAAATGATATGCAAGATTTGCGAAGCATTTGGGAAAGTTGGGATTCAAACAAAAAATTGCAGTTTTATCAGATTTACGGAGACATCCCATATTTGCTCTATGTCGAAGTTGATGATGAATTACTCAGAGCCCTAATTCAATTCTGGAATCCAGGATACAATTGCTTCACTCTCAATAAAGAGGATTTGGTCCCTACTATTGAAGAGTACACAACTTTGCTACATATAGATAGGGCTTTGGAGAATCGAATCTATTCAAAGTCAATTAAAACTCAACCATTTCGAGTTAAATTAGCAAAGATTGCCGGGGTACGAGAAGAATGGGTGGCATCCCGTACAAAACAAAAAGGCGAAAGCGAAGGCATTGCTTGGACCAACATTAAAGAACTTATTCAGAGTCATCCAGATATTAAAGTACGGTTCGATTTATTTGCTCTGGGTATGTATGGTATGGTCATTTTCCCAAAAGTGTTGGGATATGTTGAAGCTGCAGTGGTAGATTTGTTTGAACAGCTGCCGAAAAAGATTAATCTTGCTTCTGCAATCCTAGCAGAGACCTTCAGATCGTTGAATGCTTGTAGAAAGTTAGGAGGTGGACGATTTTCAGGGTGTACCCAGTTGTTATATGTTTGGATCCGTAGTCATTTCTGGAGGACAGAAAAAGTTTCATACCGACGCTTTAATACGGATTACTCACCATTAAAAGAATTTCTGGAGCAAGAATGGCCGAAAGAAATTAAGAAAGATATGTGGATTAATGCCTTTCGAAATCTGCAAAGTAATGACGTTGTTTGGCGAGCCCCATGGCAAATCCAAAGAGAATTCTGTTACAAATGTGGAGATTACAATTGGATAATGCTGCTCGGATTATGGGGAGGAATTGGATATGCACCACTTCTGGTCATAAGACAATATGAAGGTCGTCAATTTGTACCTGTCACTGCTGGATTACAGTCGTCTGAGTTCGCATTCCACAGCAAAAATTATAAAAGAAATATCATGGAAGCCGTTACAGCTTGGAAAACAACTTTTTATATCCGAGCTAAAGCAGCAAAAGAAATGTTAACTCCTGATTATGAAGAATGGAGATCTGTCAGGAAAAACGAAAATATTCCTCTACCAGATCAAATTGAGGATATCTCTATGGAAGATCGCATTAAGGTGGTTCCGTCAGAAATTGAAATCTTGAGAGCTGAGTTTGAAGCAGAAAGAGAAGGCTGGTCGAAAGAATTAGAGCAAATGAGACAAGATAAAGCTATGTTGGGGGTTGACATTGACTTTCATTCATCACAATGTGCACTGTTGAGAAAAGATAAAGAAAAAGGTGATGATGAATTCAGAGCATTACAGAAAAATTACCAGGAGTTATATAAATCCCGAAAAGCATCAGGATCAAGCCAAGCAACAATACAAATGACCAGAGAATT